TTCAGAAATGCTAATGATCCTCTTCACTTTTTCTTTCCAATGCTACTATAAAGGCCAAAATACATATCGCAGCTGATGGCCTACTCTCTGCTTTTGTTCTATTCTTTTTGAGCAGGAGTCTTTTCAAAATAAAAGAGAAATGTGGAACAAATAACATGTAATCAAATGTTTCAAGACAAGCCTGTTCATGCATGTCCAAGAGCCTGTTCATGCATGTCCAGAGTCCAATAACTAGGATTTTAAGGCTCATGTCAGCCTTATTATGAATAACAATACATTTGAGTATACATCATATTAAAAAAAAAAAGTGTGGAAATGAAGCAAATATATATACTAAACATTTCTGAGTTAAATGAAATTTGTTCTAGACTTGAATAAGATAATGAACATGTTTTTGGACACTTGTAATTGTACATAATTATTTGTTATACATAAAAAAAGTAATGTGTCACTACCTCACTTCTAAGAAAGTGTTGTTGTTCAAACCAACACCTATTTGTAGTGCTTAAATCTCTTTAAAAATATTGTTCTAATACTCCTACTTTAAAAACTAAATTCCAATACCATCACATAATATATTTTTCACATTTAAAATATAGACTTCAACAAAAGAACAAACCTTAAACCAATCTCTGGTTCTACTCTTTAAATATAAGCATATGCATGATAAATATCACATGTAACATTTAGACTGGCATTTAGCATATGCTGAACTAATGTATAAAAATAAAATGTACAATAATGTTGATTATCTTCAAGAACAACACACAAGGGCCCGAGAATTAAGAAGTCATAAGCACCACAAAAAAAAAACTAATTTTCTCTATTGAAGATTTCTGAATTTTGTGTATGGCTGAAAAGGTAGAAATTTCAGGGGTATACCAGGAAATGGTAAAACCCCATAACCCTATGACTGCATGATGGCAGCCTGTGTACTTGCAGTTACAAGAAACTGGGGACATCGCTATGTTTCATTTCTAAAGTATTCCTGAAAGAGGTGTGCATGAATTGCAGTGGATGTATATGTATGTATATGTAAGTATATAAGTATATATATTACTGTTTGGACACTACATCATTCTGTATTTATGTATATGTATGTATATGTAAGTATATAAGTATATATATTACTGTTTGGACACTACATCATTCTGTATTTATGTATATGTATGTATATGTAAGTATATAAGTATATATATTACTGTTTGGACACTACATCATTCTGTATTTATGTATATGTATGTATATGTAAGTATATAAGTATATATATTACTGTTTGGACACTACATCATTCTGTATTTATGTATATGTATGTATATGTAAGTATATAAGTATATATATTACTGTTTGGACACTACATCATTCTGTATTTATGTATATGTATGTATATGTAAGTATATAAGTATATATATTACTGTTTGGACACTACATCATTCTGTATTTATGTATATGTATGTATATGTAAGTATATAAGTATATATATTACTGTTTGGACACTACATCATTCTGTATTTATGTATATGTATGTATATGTAAGTATATAAGTATATATATTACTGTTTGGACAAAAAACTAAATTCCAATACCATCACATAATATATTTTTCACATTTAAAATATAGACTTCAACAAAAGAACAAACCTTAAACCAATCTCTGGTTCTACTCTTTAAATATAAGCATATGCATGATAAATATCACATGTAACATTTAGACTGGCATTTAGCATATGCTGAACTAATGTATAAAAATAAAATGTACAATAATGTTGATTATCTTCAAGAACAACACACAAGGGCCCGAGAATTAAGAAGTCATAAGCACCACAAAAAAAAAACTAATTTTCTCTATTGAAGATTTCTGAATTTTGTGTATGGCTGAAAAGGTAGAAATTTCAGGGGTATACCAGGAAATGGTAAAACCCCATAACCCTAAGACTGCATGATGGCAGCCTGTGTACTTGCAGTTACAAGAAACTGGGGACATCGCTGTTTCATTTCTAAAGTATTCCTGAAAGAGGTGTGCATGAATTGCAGTGGATGTATATGTATGT